GTTGAGCTTACAATTTCTGGCATGTATCCCATTCTCTTTTGGCCACCAGGCCTTTGCTCAGGCTGATCACCTGAGGCCCCACCTCTGTCAATCAAACCTCTTTCCCTTGACTCATGTCTGCTTGTACACTGGAGGTCTCAATTTAGATATTCCTTTTTCTGGAAGACCTGCCTGATTCCCTGTGTTTCTGGTAGATGCCTCTCTCTGGTTCTCCCATTATACTCTTTACTTTCCTATGCATTTGCAATTTTAATTGTTGGTCTTTTCCGCTAGACTACAAATTCCCTAAAGGCAGGGTTTGTGTTTAGGTTGTTCGATGTTGTATCCACAGTGCCTAGCCCATGGATGTGTGGAATCTGGAAAGATAGAAAAAGTAATACTTCACAAAAGATTTGGAGATCTCCTTTGTAAAGCAACTGTGTGTGTGTGTGTGTGTGTGTGTGTGTGTGTGTGTGTGTGTGTGTGTATTAAAGATAAAATTTTTCCTTCTTGGTGTTTTGGGTGAAGCCAATGGAAGGGAGGCTATGTTTAGAAAGTTAGAAGAGGGGAAAGCTGCTGATGTCTAGAGTACTCTAGGAATGCTGTTTCTTTGACCAAGGTCTTGGGCCTTGCTGCTGTTCTAAAAGATGGTGAGCATATATACCTCACAATGGGGCTGAGAAAGCGGTTACCTGTGTGGCAGAAGGGGAGGGATTTGTCCTTCATTTTTAATGCAGAAATAAAAAGCTTTGAACGCTATCATGTAGTCCTCAGCATAAATAACTTCATAGATTTTTTTCCCCAAAAAGGAAATTTAAAATTTTCTATTATTCATATGTAAAGTATACAATGTGGGTTTTAATATACATTTCGATACCACAAGCTAATTAACATATCACCTCACATAGTTACCGTTTTTGCGTGTGTGGTAAGAACACTTAAGATCTACTCTCTGAGCACATTTCAAATTGACAGTACATTATTAAATATGATCACCATGTTGTACATTAGATCTCCAGAATTTATTCATCAAAACTTTAAAGTTTGTATCCTTTGACCAAAATCTCCCAGTTGGCCTCAACTCCCAGCCCCTGGCAAGTACTCTTCTGTTCTCTATTTCTCTAAGTTCTGGCAACTACTGTTCCACCCTCCATTTATTTCTAAGTGAGATTGTGCAGTGTTAACTTTCTGTACCTAGCTTATTTCACTTAGCATAATGCTCTCTAAGTTCACTCATGTTGTCACAAATGGCAAGATTTCCTTCTTTTGTAAGCTTGAATAATATATATATATATGTATATATGTATATACCTAGATGACAGTTTTTTATCCATTCATCTGTTGGGTGGTTTCCACATCTTGGCTATTATGAATAATGCTGGAGCGAACAGAGTGCAAATATCTCTTTGACATACTGTTTACACTTTATTTTCCAGAAGTGGGATTGCAGGATCATAGTTTTATTTTTCATTTTTTGAACAACCTCCATATTGTTTCCCTAATGGCTGTACCAGTTTACAGTCCCACTTACAGTACACGAGGGTTCCCTTTTCTCTACATCACCAACACGTGTTGTCATTTGAGTTTTTATATATCTTGGCTATTTGTATCTGTTCTTGGAACATCTATTCAGGTCCTTTGACCATTTTTTAAATCAGGTTGTTTGTGTTTTTGCCTATTGAGTTGTTGAGTTCCTTATATGTTTTTGAATACTAGTTCCCCATTAGATACGGTTTGCAAATATTTTCTCCTATTTCGTAGGTTCCTTCATTTTGCTGATTGTTTACTTTGCTTTGCAGAAACTTTTTAATTTGTTGTAGTCCCACTTGTTTACTTTTGTTGCCTGTGTTTTTGGTGTTATATCCAAAAAGTCATTGTTAAGACTAATGTCAAGGGGCTTTTCCCCTAGGTTTCTAAGAGCAGGTGTTGATAAAAGGAAGGAAACAATAGGAAATTTAAGGGCAGCAGGACACTTAAACTATCCAAGACTGTTTAAATGGTGTTTGTACTTAAAGTAAAAACTACCTGAGAATATGTTAACATATGCCTCAAGTCTATAGCATGGATCTGGACTGCAGATTCTCCAGTGCTCAATCATCCTGTATTTGTGGGAAGAGAAGTCTGACATTTTCCGAAGGATTAAGTAATATTGTTTGATATGGAATAAAGTGCCATGTATATTGAGCTTCTTTAGGAGGAGGGTTGTGTTTATCTTTTTAGATCTCTGTCAAAATAAATACAAGGGGAAGGAGGCCCAGTGTTCCACTGGTCCCTTGAACTGAGGTTAATTTCCTGTGAAACAGTGGCTCTTAAGCTGAGTCTCTCCCTTACATGAGCACTAGCCATGTATTTACAAGATCATTGTCAAATTTGCAGAAGTTAAGACATTTTAAACACAATTGATTAATACCGCAGATTAAGACCTCTGCCTCTTTTTCACTCTCGCTTCCCTTGATGTCAGGTGGTGTTGAAGTGGCTGTGGACAAAGAGAAGTTGAGTTGGGGATACATTTGGATTAGAGGGATATATTCATGTTGTTCACAGTCACTTCTGTGTGGAGTTACTACTAGCTATCCTGATGTAGCAGTGGCTTCCAGGAATATTCTTATAGACTTCTGTGCTGACTCATCTGGCACCAGGACAGTACATCAATAACAAACTGAAACTTAATAAGCTTTAGATTCTGAGAAACCTGGGTCCACCTGCTCAATAAGCATAATACTTTGGCTTTGCAGAGTCTCTGCAAACCTGTGAATACCTCAACTTGGCATCCCAAGTAGGAGAGTAGTGGTAGAGGATTCTTTGATCCTTTGATCTACCGCCCCACATGTTACTGTCCTGGCCAATAGCAATGAAAGATCTATTCTGGGAAAACTTTTAACCTGATCTTAGAATATTATTTGAACTACAATCTAATTTGGAACATTTTAAATTACAAGGAGAAAATTATATTTTTTCAGTTTCTGTATAACTTCTCTACTTTTGTAGCCATGTCTATAGAGCAAAAAGGGAGTGAGATAATTTGACTCTTGGTCCGTATTAATTCCTAATTTAACTTTACATCATACAATCATTTATTTAGTTCATTACAAAGAGTTACTCTTTCAGCCTATTACATTTGTTGTTGTTATAAAATATTTTAGTAAAAACAAAAACATTATATAAAAGTATAAAAGCTTTCATAAATCCTCAATGTAGAAAACAGAAGTTTTTAAAAAATAGAATCTACTAAGTTTGTTGTAAATTCTTACCTTTCTTGGCATACAGTACGTGCATATTATGTTTAACTTAATGAAAAAATTTTATGACAAAAGTGGATCATATTCATATTGCTTTTAAACTTGCTTTTTTTCCCACCTAACAGTGTATCTTGGATATCTTTCTGTGTTCTTTTTAAAGGGCTGTCCAGCATTGGGTGGTGGGGGAAGTGGTCTGGTTAATGCCATTTAGTCAATCAATTCCTTATATTTGGATGTTTTCTGGTTTTGATGTTTCTTTTTTAACTACAACAAATGATGCTATAATGAGCATTCTTGTTCACATATCTTAGCACACTTTGGGAGATTTTCCCTCTGTCATATAAATTTCTAGCCATGGATTGCAGGATCAAAAGATATTTACATTGTAAAATGTTGACAGACGTTTTCAAATTGCCATCTAAATCATTGTACCAATTTATAGACTCACTAATAATGTATGAGAGTGCACTTTCTCTCCACCCTTGCCAGCCCAATATTATCAATCACTTTAATCTTTGCCAATCTTGAAAATAGTAGCTAAGGGTTTCTTTAATTTTTATTTATTTAACAGTAAAGTTGGGCTTCTTCTCATATTTTCATATTATTATATTCTATGGTTTGCCTGTTCATATCCTTTGCCCATTTTGAAAAAAATGGATTTATTATTTTCTTATTCACTTGTAAGAGTTATTTGATATTACTTGGGACATTAGCCCTTTGTCTTAGCATGATACTTGGTTACAAAGGACACTTACTATTGCATTATTTAATATTTCCGACTTTTTCATTGGACACAATATCATCACTGAAACTTGCATTTTAAACTCTTAAATGAAATTCTGCTATGTAAATCCCTTCAATTATAGACTCAATGATGCTGCATGTGGATTCTTAATAGCAATAAAAGGAGATATTTCATACAGTTAAAAAATTATAGAAGTGAGCATTAGTCAGAAATTTACTTAGGAAGTTAATTTGTTCTGTATTAGGGGAGAAGTTGTCACTTTTCTTCCCTAAGCCAAGGAAGGAGCCTAAGTCTGAAACAAAAGTCCCCTTGCCAAGCTTACAAAAGTTCTGCGATTAGAAATTAGTCCGTGTTACAGCAAAGTGTATACCATGAATAGATCGTTTTTATTTTTCATGAATTTCCTGTTCAGTATTAGGCTTTACATTTAATATTTATATCTAGAAAAGTTAAACAATTTTTAATTGTATAGGAAACTAGCATTTTTGAAGTACTTCTGAATTTAACACCTAGGTCAAATTGTGTTGGATATGTTTTCATGGAAGCTGTTGTATTCTCTTATTTTGCATGGGTTGGCTCTTAATTGCCTATAATTCTGGTACGTATTGAGTACAAGGGAAATATATTTTAAATATGCGTAAGTTAGATTTGCTACAAACATTGAGATTGGAAGTTGCAAATTGACCACTGAGTGTGTCTGCTTTACAGGCATGTCTCTCATAGTTTGAGAACTACTTTGATCTAGCTGCTAATACCTAAAAATGGAGAGAGTTCTCTTGAAAAATGGAACTTTGGATAATAATGGATTACCTATATGTTAGTCATGAACTGTAGCTACATAGTAGCTATTATTTTTAGACAGAGTAAGTGCTCTCCAATTTGCCAGAGCTTCTGTAATCCTTTAATGTACTGCAGCAGGGCTACTTCACTCACGTACCTTATGTAGAATTCCTCTTTTGTTATTTGTAGCTAAATATATAAAAAGGAAGATAGATGAAGAAATTTCTTAGTTTTTTCACTAATAAATTCAAGAGATCAAAGCTTCTTTGCTTTATTGTTTTTCTGGTACATTCATCACCTTAAAAGGAGACATTAGAAGCAGTAGACATCCCAGAGATATTAACTTTCATCTTCCGAACTTTTCCCAACAAATCACTCCATTGGCTGGTGAAAAAAAAAAGATGATTGGAAAGATTTATACTTCCTGGAGTTCCACTATCTTACGCTGTAATTTCTTCAGGTCTTTCTGGACTTTATATTTCTCTAAATCCATCTTTGTTTTCTGTATTTGTTGGAGGGAGCTGAGAGAGTCATGAATTGATTTAAATCCTGTGAGAAGGTAAAAGAATAGGTATACTTAAAACAATACATTAGAACTTAAAAAAAAAAAAACAAAGTGGCTAATTGGCAGTCTTGCCATACTTATCATTTAATTGAAAGCACATTAAATTCTATTAAGACCAGCCTAAAATTGTACATAATCTATTTCTTGTATGTCATGAAAATCCATTCACAATAGTGTTTCAACTTGTACGTGGTTATCTGGTTTCATTGTGAAATTTAATTATTTTTCTTCTCTCCCCAAATATATTGCATAATTTTATATTGCAAGAATAAAATTTAAAATATTTTCTTCTTTCTGTGTGCTTTAACAAGAGATTTAAGTGATATCTTTTTCAGTCTTATTACCAAATTGAAGGTAAAGACCACAGATGAGATTTTAAAACTTCTCTGAAAGTAACCTGTTTGAGGGACCTAAGAGTGGCCACCTGCTCCCCTCCTTTCTCTTGGCACTTTGTATCTCTCTTATGCATGTCTAGTCACTTATGACCACAGACCTACCAAACCTCAAGGTCTTAGGGTACAACCTTTTTGTTATTCACCGAGGCCTTTCGTATAGTCATTTCTCAACACATTTTTATTAAAGGCATAAAGCAGCAACCCATTAATTTGGAATTTCCCCTTTCTAGAACTCCTCTCCATAGTAAAATGAAAGAACTTGTAAATGGTAAATTTCTTTTCCAGTTCACCCTGAAGTTTTACTAATAGAATAAGTAAAATTAAATCTCTGATGGTTAAACAAAGCAGGGCCTTTAAAAGAAGGGCCAGTTAAGTTTGGGACATGATTCCTGGTCAGATAATTCATTATTTTGATATGATGGTGGGAGTGGGTGTATTGTGAAGGTTGAATTTCCAGGTAGAAAACTCTACTTATATGTCAGGAACATCTGGCAGATTGAGACCATCATGTCCTCCCAAGGTATCTACACAGATATCTACACAGGACCAAATTTGGTAGAATTTACACATGAATTTTTCTGACATCTAGAAAAAAAAATGACTTGGAGCTTTCTCTAGTAAAGAAACTCTTCTGAGTCCTGGTAATTCCCTCAGAATTATGACCCAAGGCAGATGGCTGCTCCACAGCACCTATCCCATGTCCTTCCCTTTGACAAATTAGATGAGCCTTTCAAATTAATCCTCTTTGATGTTAGCTCAGCTTGACACTGCTGCGATTAGCCTCTTTAAAAGAAAAGCAGTCATTATACTGGACTCTGCTAATTCATCTCTCTTTCTCACTTCTAAAGGTCAGGTCTCCAGTCTGACATCTGTCCAAGCTCATTATTTGTAGTTCAATGAGAAGGGCATTTGATTTAGGCTCCTAATTTCATAACATACCCACAAGTCACATCTTGGGTATCTCCAAGGATTTTCCAAGTCTGACAATTCCATGATTCTATGATCTTAGAAACAACAACAACAACAACAAACAAACAAACAAAAACCTCACACCAATGGCAGGCCTATAACATTGCCAAGTATGAATGAAGAAAGTTTATTTATATACCTTCCAGTATAATACTCACATTCTATAGGATATTTAGAAAAGTGCATTAAATACATAAGGATGTCACTAATGACAAAATTAATCCCTGGCCATTAGCTCGAAGTGGAAGACTGAGGGATTGAACAGAAAATGTCCGGACAGATACTCTTTACTTAATAAAAGGTTTCTGCTCACCTGATTGATATTCATTCTGCATTGTCTCTAATTCACCCCAGATCTGCTTTTCCATTAGTTCCATCTTTTTGGACAATTTATTTTCCATATGCTTTACTTTACTTAGCTGTGTTTCCTGTTTCTGTGTGTTAATGAAATTCTCTACTTTGCTTGAAAGCTGCAGCAGTTTTTCTTCCATTTTATTTTCAGACTTTTCCTGTAAGAGATTATGGGATAAAACTTCACAAAACTTACATGGATTTATCCTTCAGCTTAGAGAAAATGTTTTTAACATTCATTTTTCCATCCTAAGCATGAAAATTCAAACCAAGTTTTTTTGTATTTAAAACTGTGTTCCTAAGTATGAGAGTTAATCCCTTTGGCCCTGTTCATTTGTAGTTTCTGGAATTCAACATGTTATGGGATAAAAGAAAAGGGCTGTAGCATGGCTGAAATGTCTTGAGAATTTGGTGTTTTAGTCTAATGTTCAAAGACGTTTTAGATACCGCTTTTTCTGACCTCTCTGGACATGCTCCCTCAAATATCATACCTCTATGTGGACAGACTTCAGCTAGAATAGTGACTTGCCATGCCAGTAGTTTATTAGAATCACCTGGACCATACCCCACCCCCACAACTTAATTAAATCAATCAAATCCATATTTAATTGGTCTGTGATGGAGCTCAAGAACTGATAACGATTTAAACACTCTCCAGGTGATTCTAATATGTAACCGAGGTAGGCACTGCAGAGGCAGCCTTAGGATAATTAGCCGCTTTTCTCCTCACTTCTCCACAGGGAATCTGGGAGCAGGAACTAGGCATGGCAGGTATGACCCCTTTGGTTCTCCTCTCTTTGGCCCCATCTGCCTCAGGAATGGTGGATTCTAGTCTCTGTGTTCCTTATGGTGGGAGGTTTCTGCCTGTAAGATGACCCCATGGTTAACCTAGTGCTGCCTATAACTGGTAAAGAAATCTGCCTAATTCAGGAGTGAAGAGCTAGCAGGCCCACCTGGCAACTGCAGAGCTCACCACACATACTTCGATAGCCTTACCAGTGATAAAGTTTTATGTTTATGTCCAATTCTTGGACTCCTTTGTCACTCTATCAGCTGTTTACAAACTCAGGATGGAGCTGGGGACATTATTTTCTGAGCTGCCTCTGCCTATAGTCTCTCTACCTGAAGTTCTCAAAACATCTTATTTTGGTCACCTTCAGGACTGGCAGCCATTTACCACGGTCACGGTGCTGTGCTGCCCTTCCCATTGGGTAAGATGTGCTGGTTGCAGTGGGAGAGGGCGCCCCTGAAATAAGCATATTTCTCATGCACCTTGGTAGCCTCACCCCAAAGCTTGGGTTGTCTTTACATGGTCTGATCTGAAAAAGGAGTTTTGAAAACCTTTAATCTACAAACAGATCTCCAGAAAAGTGAAGTGACTTGCCTGCACATCACCCAGGGAGTGAGCCTATAACCACTGACTCCCAGGGGAGGCCCCGAGAGAGTCAGACTCCCTGGGTCTGGGATGGCAATCTGTATTTTTTTTTTTTTAAACCTCTTCAGATTCTTTTGGTACAAGTAGAGCACACTCAGAGAAACACAGGTTTGCAGAGTTGGGGAGTAGCAAACAGGACCAGAAGGCAGGCCTCTGGACTCCTATTGAAGTGCTTAAAAAAAAAAAGAGTTCCTGGAGCAGTGAAGATTACCATAAACATGGAAGTGCAACCTCCCAGACCTTTGCTCATTACTCATTGAAGACAAGGACTATGCAGGTGTTTACTTCACAAAATAACAGAACTCCTCACCAGTTTCTCCTGTAGGACCTTCAGACATTCATTTATATGGCCCAGGTGGTCTTTTCTATATTTGATAAATTGGTTTTCTGTCCATTTTTTATTATTCTCAACTTCTTCATACAGATTACTTGAAAGTGAATTAAATCTAAGGGAAAAAATGTTTTCTCCATTTTAATAAGTGAATTTAAACATAAAGCAAAAAATTAGTGTTGAAAAAGTCTGCATTTTTTGAGGCAATTGAGACTGCATGTGCCTAGCCAAGTATTTGTGGGGTGATGTGGGAGGTGGAGAGGCAAGGTAAGTACACTCTGTGTTCCTGTCCTGAGCTGGAGTTCAGTCCAGCTACTGTTACATACCCTAAAATACATCATCACAGTGACAGGAGCTCTGTTGGCTAGGAGCTAACCACAGCCACACCGAAATTTAGTGTTATCTATGCAGAATTCCTCTCATGGCCTGTGGCTCACTGGTTGTGTGTGGAGGAAATACTTTGATAAGCTCGCTGGTTTGGGAACTATTACTCATGCTAGGAGTTGTCAGTCAAACGCCAGTTAGTAAGTACTTTAGGCATTGTGGGTCATTTGGTCTCTGTTGCAACCACTCAGTGCTCCATTGCAGTGGGAAAGCAGCCACAGGTAATATGTAAAGAAATGAGTGTGGTTATATTCTAATCAACCTTTATGTAATATTCACGTCATGAAATAGAATTCTTTTTTAATTATTACAAAGCATAGAAATTGTTCTTAGCTGTGGGTAAATGTGGCTAAGGGTGATAGTTTGCTGATTCCTGCTCTCTAAGTGCCAGTGTGCGGCTGGGAGATGAGCAGGGGCAGAAAGGACCTGCATTGTTTAGCAGAGGAAAGAAAGGTCAGAGGCAGGAGAGTGGAGGGAGAAAGCCCCAAGAGAACCTGGGGAAGGTGCCAAGGGGGACTTTAGGTTGCCTTTGTCAGGCAAAATCTTCCATAAAGTCCCCATTCTACCAATGGGTCTGTGTGAGTGGATTTTTTTAGGGGGTGTTTAAAGAGGCCCTGAATGACTCATGTGGGGTAAAAACAGAAGTAAAAGAGGTACAGGAAAAGGACCTATGGGACTACCCAGATGATGTACCATAGAAGTGTTAAATAACAGAGAACGAAGGATTTAAAAAAATTGAAGTGGATCAAAAGGTTGGAATCATATATCATCAGTTGAAAAGTCTAGAGTGGCTGAAGGTTTGAGGGGAGGAAATTCACTCTGAATTAAATGAGGTATGGGACTGGGAAGAGGTGGGATGAGGGAGAGGACTTGTGAGTGGTTTATGTGTGTATTTTCTGCATGTGACTTGTTCATGATAAGATGTTGGCTTCAAATTCCCTTTTAGAATAGGTAAACTATTAGGTTGGCAAGAACAATGTGTGTTATTGAAAATATTCTTTCTACCTTACAATGTATGGTACAGATAAAATAATAATTGCTCTGATGTTTTCAGGCAAAATTATACCCAGATAATTTAGTTTGCAATGTTTATCATCGGAAATTAATTGCTTAAGTCATGCTGGACTCACACTGCATGTACATGCCTCTCTTGCTCTCTGGAAAAAGTGTTTGGGTTAATAATTAGAAGATACAAGTTCCTGGAAATCATTGTTTTTAGACTAATAGCTTTCAACTGGGGGCAGTTGCCCCCTGCCACCTTCTCACCCCCAGGGGACATTTGCTAATGTTTGGAGACAATCTTGGTTGTCACAACTGAGAGGTGTTACTGGCATCTAGTTGGTAGACAGCAGGGATGCTGCCAAACATCTTACAATGCATAGGAGAGACCCACAACAGAGAATGATGCAGCCAAAATACCGATAGTGCCGAACTTGACTTAGATAATGAAACCAAGGAATGGGAGATGTAAATTAATTTTCCAATAGTTATATGAGTTACAATCTGATAGCTAAATTCTGATCTTTGTTCTCTGAATTCTCACACTTTTTCACATAGATATGAAGCATATCTTGATTGACTGTTGAGTACCTCAGCACTGAAGAAGATGAAGTTGGTTTCTATTAGTGTTTTTGTCTAATCATGATTCCCAATCACCTGTGCTATTGGTTAACAGTTGTTGGATCTCAGACAAATAAGCCCACCCACTGGATATGTTGACTCCCTCATTTTAGCCAACTGTTTTCTCTGTCTGGAATATTCTTCCTCAGAATATCCATTGGCTCCTGCCCTCATTTCATTCAGATTTACATTCATACACTACCTTAAAAAAATAGAATTCCTTCTCCTTACTGGAAATTTCCTATTCTCTTACCCTGGTTAATTTTTCTCCAAAATTTTCATCACCATCTGACGTACACTAATTTGTGTTCTTTCTTCTCCACTAAAACTTAAGCTGCATGAAAGCAAGAATTTTGCATTGTTGATGGCTGTGAGCCTAGAATATAGTAAGTGCTCAATAAATAGTTGGCTAAATGAACAAATGGACCATTCTATCTCATTATCTTTTATTAGCATTGCTGACAAATAACAAATCAGATTTGTCAAGCTATTTTGAAATCTAATCTGCTTTGGTTTTCATCTTCCTTTCCCTGTCTCTGGTGGAAGTATTAATTAATAGTCATAGCTAAGGGGGCCAGTAAATCCCCAGATAATCAAGAAATAGGTTTACAATTGAGAATCCAGCCTTCAGTGCTCAACTTTACTGTAAATAAATGAGAGCATTTACTCTTTTATCACTGATACAATATTAACATCCCTTTGAAAACCAAGAAACCATTGAATATGCCCATGTAATATCTCTGGAAAGGCATATCAGTAATTGAAATTCTGAAATTAAAGCCATAAAGAATGAATTACTATTATGATCCTTTTATTACAAGATATGCTTGCAATTGGGGATTAATTTTCCTAGTAACACTCAGAAGTTGGACTCTGTTGGTAGTTTATTAAAATTTGGAAGTCTTTTTGAATCAGTTGTCTTCTTGAGAGACAAAAAGAATAAATAAAATAGAGGTTTGTAAAATGCTTTTTTTTTTTTTTTGCATAGGCTTTTCCCAGACGTAATGGACATGATTTGCCATAATATATTAATTACAGAACTTAGAAATGTATTAATTACAGAACTTACAAAATCTCAGCAGTATGAATCTATCTTAGATGACATTTACATTTTAGATCCCAAGTCTTCTATTTCAATAGGTATAAGAGTATTTCTATTAGCTGTAGATAGATAGGTGATTAGATAGAGCTTTTTCTTTCCTTTTCCTCAAACACAAAAGCCAGACATTTAAATTATAGCTAGAGACCTCACTAGGATGATGAGGGCTATTGGTTGTCTTTATGTTTCTGTTTTTAAATGTTTATGATGATTTAATCAAGTGAAAATATACTCCAAGAGCAATTATAGGGGAGAAAGTTGCAAAAGAGTGAAGGAAAGCTGAATGAAGATCTACAGGCATAGCAGAGCACAGGGAAGAGAGCTGGGTGAGGGGCTGGTGGTGACGGCAGCCAGGGTCTGCCTTTCTTGGTCATGGTTGACATACAGAAATGAGGATGTAGCTCCATCCTAGGCCAGTTTTGCCAGTACGCTTACGTCCCAAACCCAGTGTCTTGTGTTAAAAAAATCTACTGAATGAAGTTTTCTAAGAGTTTGAATTCTTGGAAACTATTACTGCTAGCAGGCTCTCAAGAACTTAGATAGGGCTTTGACCAAGTGTGAATGTAAAAAGAATTAGTGGCCTTTCATTTGCTAATAAACAGAAGATATTTTTATTTTTTGTAATCATATTTGAAAAAGAGCTTAAGACAGACCGTATGCTATTATTTCTTTGGAGTTTTGAGTCTAAGATTCTAAGTTTCACATCAGAAACCAAAAATTCTAAGACATGCTATTTTTCTACTGACTTTACACCCATAGATAGAACTCTCAAGCTAATTTCTTCTTAATTTTATATGATTTCTAATTAGTGACACAAAAATCAATTCTACCTCCACTCTGATAGAAAGACTTTTGTTTCTTGGCTGTTCCAAAGTCTTAAGATCCCAGTACATTCGTAGCCTGTTTCTCAGCCATCCAAGCAGATCTGGTCTTTCCCTTTTTAAAATTTCTGTGGCAGAATTAGTTTACAATAGATAGAATTATGAGATGGAGACTTCATGAATTGATAAAAACCATCTGAGCTTTAGAGTCAGATACTTTCTAGCTATGTGATTTTGGCAAATTAATCTTCATGATTATAAATCTCCTAATATTTAAGATAGGGACAAATTTCCTGGATGTCAGATGAGAATGAAAGCAAAAAAAAGACAGGGGTAAAGAAGACCCACCCTGCAGAGCTGAATGCATTGAGTATCTTCAGCACTAGTGGTTGGTAGGCATTCATAAATGACAATTAACTATATTTATTATTTCTGCCTGTTGATATCTCATTTAACCTTGTCTTAACTTTTACTTCTGTTTTTTCTTCCCAACTGTAAGTGGCAAGGATTATGTTTGGATATTCTAAAACACAGTTTACATAATATAGGTGCTCAGAAATCTTTCATTCATTCATTGACTTCTACTTGTGTTTCAATGTGCTGGGTGCTAAAGATACAAAGTTGAATGTGGCATATCTGCACCTTGGGTAATTTTTAACTTTCTACTGTGGTAGTGTTTTCAAAGTTGGATCATATTATTTGGATCTATGCATTTGCCTCATTGACCAAATACTTTTTATTTTCTCAAAAATCACTGTCTACTAAACAAGCGTCAGCAGTAAGAGCTATCTAGGGAGTGATTGGTAAGTGCTGTCCTGGCCAAACAAACCCTTGTTAAAGACAGCTTTATTTCCTGATGGCCAAGACTCTTGCTATGTAAGCACTAAGTAGTTGGCTAAGGACATTACTTAGCAGAAGCTCTGAGGAGGAACCTTCTGAGCAGGAGGCACAGTGGAGGGGTTCAGTGTGTGTCCTTTATTGGATCTGGTGATCAGTGCCCAAATCCCATCAATTCACTAGAAAACCCTCAGAAAACATTGTAGCTTTTAAGTTCAATATAAGTTTGGTTGACCATTAAACTTGAATTTGTAAATGTTTCTAAATGGGAAGATTGCCTATTTTTTTTTTTTTGATTTGCAGACGCATTGTTTTGATTTTGAAAAATGCGCATGTAAACTTTGAGGTGCTGTA